TCTTTCCCTCAAAGAACACAGATTAAATAAACTTTTAAAAATACCTTTTCATTTGAAATCTGCACAAGTCCTGTGTTAATTGAGATGTCAGCAGTCAGATGATACACCATCCACAGAATGGCTCCATGGCTTTTTCCAGTCCTAGAAAGAAAGAGCTTGAGTATTATTTTCTACTAAGTTTATATAACACCTGGACCTAAAGCAAAGTCTCCAGTGTGATGAAGCACAGGGAAACTATTAGAAACAGATGTCATAAGAAGAAAAGCCTAGGACTGGGTCCATGGTGATTCAAAAGGCATTCCCATTAGGTAAGTAATATAGAGGGGAAAGGAGTATCTTCTGCCTTTTAATGTACAAAGGATAACATTTCCCCTTTTTCTATGGAAGTATTTATCATAAACACTGTCTCATTTTCATAGCCTCTACTTCACAGAATTTGGTTAAAAAGCACAAATTATTTTTCGACATTCTATCAAGCCTTCTGAACGCAGGTAATCTCTGGGAATGGAACTCATGCTGCCCCAGTACACCATGGATGCTGAAGCATGAGTCTATGCAGATTGCCCTGACCTCTGACAGATTCCCATATGATCTTCACAGAACCCAAAGATCTGCCAACTTTGGAGACACACAATACGAACTATAAAGGTAAAACTGAAATAAACCTCATCATATGAAGTGAATTAGAGTTATAATTATATAAAATGGGTCTCATATAGAGCAACAAAGCCAAGTTACAGAAGTGTTTAGGCAAGAAGTTTGCTGCTAAATGAGAAGACCACGTTTTGAAGTACTTGAAATCAAGTTTTCTATTTAGTGGGTTCTTTTTTCTCTTTTAAATAGTTTTAGAGCATTCCAGAAATGTCCAGAATAAGTTATAGGTATCGGTGCATTGATATATCGATTGGTTATCGGATTGGCCTTAAAGGATATCGGATTGGCATAAAAGGAGAAATGACATTATCAGCTTTTTTCCAGTTGTTATAGCCAATAATCATGGCTGCGACCACAGAGCACCCTAGTGAGCATAGTCTGGTCCCCATGCCCCACTGCTGGCCCAAACCCACAGCAGGCTACTAGTCCTGGTGAGCAGCAGCAGAGGAATCGGGCACTGGAGAGTGGTCACAGGGAGCCATGCTAGGCAACAAAGGGACCATTACCGGCTCCTGCTGCTGCCACAGCAACACCACACATGCAGCAGAGACACAAGTACCAGGGGCTACTGTGGAGATGTTGAGCAGTGCATGGGCAGGCTAAGGTGCCACACAGACACTGGGCGTCTGCAAAAGTGGCTTCTCCCCTGTGGCCGCAGGAGCTTGGCTGCACAGGACCCACCAGCACTGAAGCAATAGCATGGCTCTGGGGCTCCAAACGCACCTGGCACCGCTGTTCACAAGAGGCCTGGGATGGCAGCACAGGCTGTGCTGGGAAAGGGTAGGAGCCATGGGTAAGGGGGTGATGTGCATGGGAATAAGGCGGTTACCACCTTCCCTATCGAGAGCCAGAACAGGCAGGAGGAATGTGTGTGTGTTAAAAATGCACAGGACCAGAGGCGAAGCAGTGGCACTGCAGGGCACTGTTGGCAGCGCTCTGTCCCCGCCTCCCTCCCCCCCATGTCATTCATAACTGGCAACTTGCTAGTTATTAAATAAATATGAATTTAGCTGCTTATAAATATGGGCAGTTACAGTTGAGGATGCTTGGCACTTCAAAGTTACTGACATTAATACACATATATTTGAAAAATAAACCATGAACCAGCTCTGAAAGTACTTATCACCGGGAAGCAGCTGGTTTTATTTGGAAGAGTGAAATAAACATCTAGATCTTCATAGTTTCATAGTTTCAGGGTTGGAAGGGACCTAATAGATCTTCTAGCCCGACCCCCCGCCAGGGCGGGAGAACAACCCAAAAAAAAAAAAAAAAAAAAAACCACTCACCCTAAAAACAAAAACAGGACTCAAATGAGTCCAACCAGGTAAGTATCTTGTCCTAATACAATTTAACAAATTATGAAAAGTTATATTTATATCTTATCTAATAGAATGCTGTTTTCAAAATATAACTAACTAATATATTAATATACCTCTACCCTCTATTCCACTTTAATTATGTGAGTTATGAGCTATCTGTAAACATATGTAGATTTTAAATTTAAGAGTAGGCAGCATGCAAGGCTAAGATAGAACATAGTTCTATGTCAGTGTAGCCTTTACAATTTTGGTCATCTGTTTAACATTATCAAGTGTGGTCTCAATATTAAGTGTAGTATACAAACAGGAACAGATCTGGGGGCCCTGGGACGGAATGCAGCTGCACACCCCCCTGCTTTGATTTCTACTCCACTGAAAGTTTATTTTCAACTGCCCAGCAGGAACAACCAAATTTGTATTCAGATGGATTTGAGAGTCTACTGACTTCATAGCAACCCTTGGTCTTCCTCTAAGCAAGCTAGCTTTGCTTTTACTATTATCCTATCAATTATGAAATACCGGTAACATTGCTCTAATCATCCACCAGCATGTCCAATAAAGGTGTGCTGCTACTTAGGAACTTGTACTGTCTGGCATTGTTCTTAGTGGATTTGAACCCACAACAAATCAGAGACAGGGAGGGGAGGGGGGGAATTAAAAGCAAGCTGAGATGTGCAGTGGTGCAGCAGTCAGAGGCAGGAGGGAGTTGCAAAGGCGAGGCAGAGTTAAGTTAATGCAGTGACCTTTTCTTTGGTTATTCATTTCAGCAGATGATGGAGGCTGTGGGAGGCTGAACTAATAGCCCAACTATGAATGCATAAAACCAGACATGGACAGGTGAGAGGGGTTGGTGTCCCAGGACAGGGGTCCTGCCAGTGGCTGAAGTGAGTCCTCCCTTGACCCCAACTGTTTGTTTCTGTATGTTGAGGATAATGGGCAGTGGAGGCCTGCTATGGACATGCAGTGGGGAGAGGGCGGGGGAAAATGTTGGGCAGGGAGTTACAGCTTTGCTCCCAGCTGCCCCATGGCTGGGGTGAGGGTGAGGGGAATTGTTTGGGAGGGTTTTTGAGGGGAAGGGGCTCCCAAGGGCCAGGAGGGGCTGGAAGGAAGGCGGGGGGTCATGGGCATCAAGGGATTTTTAGAAGGAAGGCCTGTAGGGTAAAGAGGTTTGGGGTGAGGAGGGGCTGAGGACATGTGAGGAGCAGATAGGGTTTGGGGCTGAGGAAAGTAGTGGGGTCTGTGGGGGTGAAAGAGTGAGAGGCTGCAATAAGAAGTCTGAATGCTCACAGAAGCAGGGGATGGCATGGTGGAGTGTAAGGGAGCTAGTGGAGGTCTGATGGGTTTCGATCATGATGGGGTGGGACTAAGCATGAGGATATGTGGGACAGCAAGGACAGAGCGGAGCCAGGGGACATTTGAGGTGGCAGGGGCAATATAGAAGGGCAGTGAAGGGCGCTTCTGGCCCACGGTGGAATGTCTGGGGCAATTATGTGTGGGGGTGCAGTTCTGTCTGTGGCCAGGCTGGGAGAATAACAACTATATCCCCCAGGACTAAGTGCCTGCCCCATCCTGAAGCTGGCAGCCGGCCCTGCACAGACTCCATTGTATTTGTTTTTTCTTGGATCATAAACTGAATAATACAGCCCTAGGTCCCCTAGCTAGTAAATCTTCTAGTTTCTTTTTAATGGGAGAAAAATGTGCGGTGTGATGAGGTGATGCACCATACTCCCTGCACCAAACTTTTAAAAACCCTACCCATGTATACAAATCATCTGAGTGTAAGAAAAGTGAAAGTTCTGTTAGCTCCCCCTTCTACGTTACATCTTACCGTAACAGCTTCATGGAACCCTCTGTGCTGAGACGGTGCTGTGGTACAGTCTGTCTGAAATCAAATGTCATGACCTGCTGGGGATCTGATAGTGACTTGCAAGGGTATTCCCACAGTGGGTGAGGCTCTGCCTCCTTGGACTCTCGAAAATTCAGAGAATTCTGAAAGAAAAAACAATCTTGTAACAACTTCAAAGTTTGCATTTGGCAAGCACTGGCCCTGAACCACTTATGGTGAGCCTGCAATGCCATGGTATGTCTCCCAATCAATCTCTGCAAATGTCCTGACTCCATGCTATACTTGCTTCCCACAGAGTTAAGTCACTATCTCAGTCCTCAGCTTCAAGTTGGGCTCAGGATATATAAAACTGCCTGAAGTTCCAGGATGAGGACTTAGGCAGAAGCTCTGCTCAATGGGCACAAGTAAATTGTCACAAAGGTAAAATTCATCTGTATGAGAGACTGCTTTGTCAGTCTGAACCAACTCTCAACCTCATCACTTTCTGTTCCAAATGCAAATTGTGCTTCTTTGGCTTACATATGTATAGAGGCATGTACATTCATTTGTTTTTAAAACAAAAAAGAACAAAAATCCCTTTCATATGAAACACTCCACTGCATACAGTCCTCTCCCTCAGGAGGAGATGAAAGAGAAAACAGACACACACAGACCTCAGTTACACAGCTTAATGTGCTACTGGAAGGCACTTGTGTAATGATGATGAGGGAGGCTACAAGTACACAAAATACTAGTTTCATTTCACTTTATTTACACTTGGACAGGTTAATAGGTACCTGAATTCTAAAGAGAGTTCCTCTACTTTGAGATCACTTAATAGCTTAAATACTTTTGTATTGGTAAAGCAGTAATTCAGCAAAGCAGTTCAGCATGTGTTTCAGTTTAAGAACAAATATAGATTCTTTGCTGAATTACAGTCATTGCCACTGCTGAATTTAGCAATGCTGGTTACAATTAAAGTAGTACCAGTAAAAAAATGCTGGTATCTAGGAACCAAGTTAAAAATAGTTCACAGCCCAGATTATGATTCTCTCATTCAAAACTGTAATTATCCCAAACCTCTGTTTCCAGAGGCATTTATAAATAGTGTAGCTACTTTTTTGTAAATATAAAAAAATCTGCAGTGGAGAAACCTACACTTTTCTTGATTATGTTTTGCCAAGACACTTATACAAATGTTTAATATTATAAAAATTCTACTCTTGAATAGATGGAAACTACCAGGACCTTTCTACACAAAGATCCTTATTTAATAAATTAAGTTACATGCTGGAGAGCTATGCTCAAGATGACTATATGTAATGTAATGCTCAAAATGCTCAAGATGACTATATGTAATTTCTGCAATAAAGATGATACTTAATGGCTTGGCCCAATAATCAATACAGTTTATGACAAAGAATTTACTATTCAAAGCTACATTCTGTTTCTAGTTCTTAATGCTTAAAAGTGGCAAACAGCTTTGCCATATCAGAAGAAATCCGAAAATAAGAAAGAAAGAATGTTGCTATAGGAATTAAATAGCCTAAAAATGAAAAACAGAACATTAAGGTTCCATGTCAAACATCACACACACATTCCACTTGTATTCCACAAAATGGTTTTTAAAGCATAGCTAAAACTTGAGCTGTAACATCATATCCTGTTTGAAGAGTTCAAATGTGATCCCTCTTACCCCAATCATATCATCCATAATGTGAACATCAAACCCTTCACAAGTACGACATGGACTTCGGATTCTCCACAAGTCCTAAGAGGAAAAGTAAGCAATCTGGTTAGGAAAGGTTTTGGTTGCGAATGAAGCTGTTAACTATATAAGTGTAATGTGTTGAAAATTGTAAGAAAACATTTTAAATATCTATTCTAAAGTGAGTTGGGGGAAAAAAGGCTAATAATAGGATTACTACAGGGTGTCACAAAACTCAGTACCCATGGGCACTAACTTTTTTTTTTTTTTTTTTGTCTTTTGTCCTGTTCAGGTGAAAATGCCACAAAAATTAACTGAAGAAGAGTCCTGGCACCAATTCAAAAGAAAACTGAGACACATATTGAAGTTAATGGTAACCAGTTTGAAGTCTGTTATAATGCCTATGATTCCTGACTTTTGCATCACTGTATATTAAACGTTTAGGTCTCAGGTAAGAATTCAAACCACAGCAACCTAAACTGGTTACTATCTTTCTTCTGCTTGGTTTCCTTTTAAACCAGTTGATCAAAGTTTAGTTCCTAGAGGACCAGTGCCTAAATCAGAAAAGGAATCATTAGTCCATCTCAGAGACGCAAATAGCATGCAAATCATTATCCAAAGACTGGAGTCTTGCCCCGCCTAAACTACACCCTCCAAATGAGGAGGCATACTGATAAGATATTATGGCAGGAAACAATACATAATTCCCTAAAAAATGTCAACTGTCAGAGCTGTTCAGACACTTCAATTTACTTTATTTTGCATAAAAAGAATGAACACTTAAAAAAGCTGCCTGTTCTAATCAATCTTAAAACTGAAGTACCAAAACTGTGTAAATAGCTCTGCTGAATGAAAAAACATTCTCCTACAGGAGTTTTACTGATGAAGCCTAAAACCTAATTTTCAGAGTTATTTCTAATTCATTTCTTACTCAGCTGCAGACAGATGCAAGCAAAACCACTGAATTTACTGAAGACAAATAGATTCTTACAGTCATTATCTTTATTTCAACCTCTATCAATCCACCCACAGCCCCTATGAGGCAAATGTTATTTTTCAGGCATGCTTCTCCCATTGATGATCCAACACAAATATGTTCTCAAACAAAAACAGTCCAAAAATCCACATAACATGAGTATTTTGGTTTTCATGTTTAGCTACAGCAAGAAATAAATTTTCTTTTCCCATGCCACTGGAAAGTTGTTCCAAGCATGATCATATGAATGTCACTTAGAACATTACTTACCTTTATGAACATAGCTGTTTGAATACATCTAAGAAAACTAATTCCAAACGTACAAAAGCTAAGTTTTCTTTTGCAAAAAGACCAAAGCTAGTAAGAAAGCACATACAAGTTAAAAGGGTAGATTGTTAAACAATCAGCGGTTGCACTATTTCCCTCCAGCCCCAAACAGATTTCCTGTTCAAGAATTTCAAATGCTTTTATTTCCTTAGGATCGACATCTTATTACACTTTTGCACACCTATTAAGTTACTTCACCCATCATATAGTTCAGTTGACTCTGCATTAGTGAACATACTTCAGCAATTCCCCAGAGCAACTGTTCTCAATCATTTTAGACTCAAGGCACCCCTCAGAAAATGCTCACTTCAAGTTTTCACTTGCTATTTTTTGACTAGTGAAAAAATTATTAATTCTTCTGTTGCAAAGCACTCAGAAAGACCAGAATGTTTTTGATACTGTGGATTCCTCTTTGAAATCTCTGGGTTTATCTTGTGAATCACATGTGCCTAACTAACAGTGCTAATATTGCATGGCACACTACAGTATCCTTGAACGGATCTCAGGGCACCGCATGGTGCCACAGTAACCTGGTTGAGAACCACTGCCCTGTAGAAATGAGCAATAAAACTCACAAAGCCAAGATACCTTAAAGTATCTTTGCTGCCTTTACAGTCACGTTTTCCAGCAAGAGCCTCCAAAACTACATCTGGGTGGTCCCTCAAGGCTTGGACTCACCTTCCTCACCCTACCATTATTTCTTACCTGGAGTGGTACAAATGCTTAAAAGAACAAGGATCAAAGAATGACTTTGACCCAGAGCATGTGACCGGTGCTGCAGGGCAGAGCGGGGCCACACAGGAAAGCTGCTTGCCGCTGCAAGCTCTACACTGCCCTGGCAAGCCATCTCCTGCCCATGTGGCAGTAGCAGGAGCAGCGACATAGTGTTGCGCCCCTTACTGCTGCGGCGTAGGCAGGGGACGGCTCACCAGGGGACTGCAGAGCTCACAGCGGCAAGCAACTTCCCTGTGTGGCCCTGCTTTGCCCTGTACCATCGGGTCACACCTGCTAGGCTGTGGAGGCCCCAGGGGAAGGGCAGCAGGGTGGGGAGCCCAAGCCTGCAGTGGGCAGCCTGCACCCGCCCCCATCCTGTGAACTGATCTGGGGAGCATGGGTCCCCCCTGCTGTCCCCAGGAGTGCACACAGTGGCAGGGAGCTGTACCTCCCCACCCCGCCCGCAAAGCCTGCAGTGGACAGGCAGCGGTCGGGGGGAGGGGGAGCTGGCTCTGTGCTCCTCTCTGCTGCAGGAGCTGCTGCCCTCCTGTGGGTGGGAGCTGGGGCTCAGGCGCTGCTGTGGGGAGCAGGCGGCTATGGACCCAGGTCCCTAGTCCCATAGTTCTGGCAGCTGGGGACCCCCTCTGGTAAGGCTGGGGAGGGCAGGGGGATGTGGCTTGGGAGAGAGGGCCCGGACCTGCATTCTGTGAGCTAAGGGGGCAGGGGGAGCTCTGATTTTCTATGACAAAAAACTCAATATCAAATACCAAAATGTATAGGTTTTTAGAAATTATTTTATTATAGTGATTTAGGCACTGGTAGGCTTCCAAATTCCAAATATATAAAAAAAATTGTGTTCAACTGATACCTATATATACAGTAGCCTTTCAGTTTCATCACAGCTCTCCCGCTGTCCGCCCCAGGCAAGCCAACATCTTACAAACTGAGGTTGTGGGTGCTTTTGGTACTCTGTCCAAAACTGTAGCTGGTGCCAGGCAGTCTGGCTCAGTAAACTGCAGAGTGAAGATCTTCTAGTCTGGAAGGCTGCAGGAGAATACTGGCTCACTTCTGAGCTGCCCTGGGGACTACCTGTAAGACACTGGAATACAACCCAGGGTAAAGGGGAATCCTTGCTGCAAGGCCACGAACTACTGTTGATGTCTGCAGCTAGAGTGGGTTAAATTTGTAATAGGCAGTGTGCTTATTCCTTTGTTACAGTTTAATCCAGTGGCTTGGGTTTGGGACTATCAGGTGTTGGCAGAGGTCTCAATAGTGCCTGAGGCCATGCAGATGTCCTGAGCCTGTCAGGGGCTAAGGGCCTAGGACACAGAGTGGACTTTGGCCCAAAAGCAAATAGCAGCCAAGAGAGGGATGCCAGTCTAGCTTGGGCGGAAGCTGAGAAGGGCCAGGAGAACCAGGCAGAGCCAAAGTAGGTTGGTTTAGTGTATAGCGCAGGGCAGAGATGTGGCCAGGGGGCCCAGACAGACCAAGCCAGAGGAGGCTCACTGCTCAAAGCAGGGCTGAAACAGGGCCAGGAGGGTGCACACAGAGCCAAAGCAGGCTCAGCACCCAGGCAGGACAGAGACTGGGCGACGGCTAAAGTAATCAAGATAAGAGCTGGTGCCCAGAAGCCAGGTCCAGCATAGTAGGCCAAAGATTGAAAGTCCAGCTAGAGAAAAGTGGTGGAGGCTGAGAAGGCTGAGGCCCCAACAAGGGAGTGATGATACAGTAACACCTGTGAGGCACAGACATGGCTGTAGGAGAGTTTGGAGGCCATAAATAGCCAGTACTTATGGCTACAGGTAGGCCTGCGAGACAATGACAGGTCAGGAGGGCCCACTTGGCCCAAGAAGGACAGAACTGAGGCCAGCAGCGTCTGGGAGGGACCTGCTGGCTGTCACAAAGACTGGGGTTTACTCTAGGACCCATTAGGCAGCCTTCCTTCCAATCAACTGAATATATCAAGGTGTGCCAGGTGACTGAGAACAGAAGGGTACCCTACAGATGGAGCAGGACAAGGCTAGCCTGGTCACCAGGGGGTGTCACGGCTGCCCCTGGAACCTGAACATTGCCCCACACATACACACACACGCTGCCTGTGCCATTTATGGCACACGTTGCAGGTTGGCTAGTTCTGAGGAACGACATGTAGGGAGAACGCCATTTGAGGGTCTCTGTACACAGTATATATTCTGATCCATGTGCTACCAGCCTCTGTCCTTTTAAAGAAGAATTCCAGCAGAGTCCATATTAATATTTTTTGTGAAAAAAAAATCTTACTACTTTACCTTCACTAAGTCTTCCATTTGGCAGAGGTTATTAGTGTGCTGACAATAGTTATCCAGGATCACCTCTCATTGAACCCAATGATTCAGTTAATAGGCAATATTTCAGTTCAACGTTTATCTATTTTCTAGAACATATTGCTGGTTCTCTAATGGAGTGAGATATTTTACCACAGTTTCAGAAATACACATTTTATTACTAAATTTATTGCTGTGCTGCAACAGCCCACAAATTTTTCTGCTGATACTGGATCCTGTTCACCAAATAGCCACTTTACACAGAACATCAGCAGTGATGGTATAAGCCAGATGTTTGAAATAAATGTCTGCTGCATCAAAAAATAAAACCCTAGGGTGATTATGAAATGTCTGATAGGTCTATCCAATGATGTTTAAGAAATGTAGAAGGGTTAGAACAGCAAGAAGAATAAACTATTTAGTACAATTACCTGGAATACTTTTGAATTCTCCCCCATTATGAAGTTTACTTTGGATCCACTAGGATAATTGAAACTTGCCATGTATGAAGAAAAAAAAATGTGTTTTTATCCTTTTCTAAGTTAACTATAAAGTTATCATTCTGTTTCTCATAATTCTGTAAAACATCAGTCAAAGAAAGGCTGATCAAATACCTAACTAAGCGGGTCCTCCTTCCTATTCACCCAAGTTGCTGGGAATACAAGTACACTTTCCAGAAGAAGGAAGAAGAATCCTACAAATATCTTTAGTATCACAGTACTAATTAAAATACAGAACTTCCATGTATGGTGAAATTATTCAGCACAGCCCTAGTTTTCAGAAGTGACAAATGATTGTTGGTGCTGAATTTGAGACATCACGGAAAACCATAGTTGTCAGAAGGAAAGGAGTTTGAATTTGGAAACCAGCTGTCCTCAAAAAATTGGGCATCCAAAAATTAGACTTCCCAAAATTATTAGTCTCTGAAGAGTCAAGTTGCATACATCTATTTTAACAAAACTGATAGGAGAATCCAAAATCAGCTATATTAATTCATACATTGTTTTACACATTAAAATGCATCTAAATGCTGCTTAAAATAAATGTCGTGCAAACAAATTTGCTGACAGACACACTTTTTTAAAAATCACAAAGACCTGTATTTCTTCTGGGACATCCCACAAAACCTGTCAGAGCAAACTATTCAACAGTACCAGGCACATACAATGGATTGGCACAGTGTAGTTCTGTTCAACTCTTACTGCTCAATAACTTCAAATGACTGAATACAAAGCTGACTGTACAAGATCCTTAAGACGACTATCTGTCTGCTGCTAACATAAAACTGAGCTATGTCATGTATGTAATAGACAGCATAACCTCCCGCTTAACATTCTATTGTATGCCATTATTCTTAAAAGAAAGCAAAATACCTGTCTTTGTTTTATCTGAGTGTAACTGTGGATGCAATCTTATTTTTAAAACATATTTGATTCTGTACCCAAAGTTAGTAATTTGACCTTCCTCAGGATAACAAGCTGGTTTAATAAAACAAAACAAAACCAACCCCCTCCCCCCCACAAACATACTGTTGTGCGTGTGCAAAATCTATTTTAAATATTTGAAGGAATGCTTCAAGTTTGCAGGCAGCATTGATTAGTAATTAAGGAAAGATTAGAGTCAGTAAACAGCACTATCATATGGTTTTGATAAACTACAGATATCCCAACTGGTTAAATTTTTCAACCCCAGCTCCCCCAATACCAGATGGGCAAGGCGAGCAGGGAGGAAAGCAGTTTGTATCTAGCTGGATGCATACTTTTTCAAAACTCCCTACAAAAATCTTTCAAACCTTTTCACAAGGAGCCATTTGATTCAGCCCATGGATCTGCAGCTTCAGGTGGTCACTTTTCCCCTGCCATGGCAGAGAGAAATAGTGGCCAAAGGAGCTTTCCTCTTGCCTCGATGGAGAGAAACAGTGGCCGCAGAAGCAATCACCCCCATCTATCATTTTAAAGGTACTTATTGGCTTCCATTATCATAGTAACTGAGCACTGCACAATCTATCTTTTTTCTTCCAAGCACCCCAGTAAGATAAGAGAGTAGTTATTTTACAGATGAACTAAAACCTTGAAAGACTAAGTAACTTGCCAAACAAAGATCACAGAGGAAATCTATAGCTGGCAAGGATTTTAACTCAGGTCTCCCAAGTCTTAGGATCTATTCATTATTTTCTTTGGTGCAACGGGAAAAACAAACCAGTAAAACACAGAATATACATCTCTATATGAGAGTTACTTGATCAAGCTAAAAAAAATAAAATCCATACTTGTCTGTTGCACTTGGGCTTTAAGTTTACAATGGTTATAATTATCACCTGTTTTAAAACAGAAACAAGAGGGGAACCAGCAATTAAGATGCACTCAAACATGGTCTGTGCTTTGTAAAGATTGCTGTGTTCCCTCACCACTGGCCAAAATTAATTTTTAAAAAGTTTGTAAACCAGACAGAGTCCTCTGTTCCCAAAATATTATTTACAAACTTATTATTCTACAAATAAAAACAGAATGACAAATTTCAAGCAACGTCTATCTATTTGACACAGGGATTTAAAAATAAATAGTTAAAAATACTTCAATTTCACCAAAATAATTGAAGCTCCTAGTTTCTGATGTAAAACGGGAAGTAAATAGCAATGTTTCAGTTTTTGCAATTTAAAAAACAAAGCAAAAACCCTTCAATCGTCTGTCCTTGGTGGCTTTTAATTCTCAGTATCATAATTCCTCATCAACATGTAATGCTGCCTACATGACATGCGCTCCTAAAAACATAATTTGTTTTTCTAATTAAAAATAATTTCAGTCCAAGATAAGGAATGTCTGAAATGACAGTAGGCATCTTCAAATTTCAGAAGTCAAGTTGCTCTGAGTTCGTCCTATTGTCAAGAGCAAGAATTATGCTGAAAGTGTATGGTGTTCAGATATGATAAACGTGAAATGTAAAATAATGCTGAAAAGACTCAACTTGGTCTTAACTGAAGCCATGAAAATATAAATGGCATATTTCCATCTCACCTTAAACTCTACAACCATCATGTGCAGGGAAGCAGACTGTGGCAGGACAGTGATGTTTCTGACGAGTTGATTAGCCGCTGCTGTTCTGGCATACCAAAAATGCAAGTTGTGCCAAGGTAGTAAGCTTGTAGTGAAAAAAGGTTCTCCAATAACAACAGAGACCTTGGGGGAAACAAAAAAGGACAGAGTATATGAAAAATAATAAGACAAAACAAACATGATTTACAAAATATCTGAGGTAGATACGCAGGCAGCACTTCTCAGAAATTCTGTGTTTGGCTTTAGGATAACAGAAAGCTGCACATTCCAGGTTTGTGCACATACAAAAGTTGTGCTATATGAAATATTACATGTATAGTTGAAGTAATATAACTCCTTACCATGCTTGCAGTGTTTACACAGCTGTATAGCTTAATCACATATAGGAAGTGGACCAAACTATGGGTTGAAGAAAACATGCTTATAACACCACATACAGTTGGGTTTGTACCAGTGTAATGATTTGTTTAGGACGTAAGGGAAGAATCACACCTGTGGCTGCATATACTTCTCTTGAAACCAGCATATTTTTTCAGTTTCAGTGGGACAGGAGTATAAGCTATTACTGATGGTTTGGGCTGTACCAGGATGAGTTACAATTCTTATAATGCAAGAGAAGGCAAAGGATTTTTTAGTCTGCTTATGTTTTTAAATGCCAGAACAGGACAAGTGTTACTTACCTTCTTATTTTCTAAATCAGAAGGGGTCAGCAACTCTGGACGTTTCTCTATTATTTTAATTTTATCTTCTAGATGATTGGCTTTAAAAATCTGAGAGAGAAAAAGAAATCATTTGTGCTTAACTTTTACCTAAAGATATAAGAACAGACCCAAAATTCTATTAAACTACCATTTTAAACACTAATAAAGATGGAAAACACTATATAGAAGGTAAATTAATACAAATGATCTCTTTTGGCTGGGATGATATAATTAGAGATGGTCCTGCTTTGAACAGGAGGTTGGACTAGATGACATCCTGAGGTCCCTTCCAACCTTAATTCTCTATAATTTTATGATTTTCATAACTCTTGATCTTCTAGATGTGTTGCACAAGTCTATTCCACTTTTGACACATGCACTGAGCTAGTAGTAGCACCCACTGCCAAGAACACATACCTTTTATCTCATCACGGCTCCAAAGAACATTGCCCCAACACTCCCTCCACTGGGCCCCAAAGCAGGTTCCAAGATAAATGTGTCAATACACCCTGAGTAATAGTTATGATAAGTATTCACTTTTCCTTCTCAGAATGATTGAACATATTATTTCACTTCAAATGATTCCAAAGATAGAAGGGCTTGAAGTCTATTTGCATATGAAGCACAAAACAGATATGTCAAAGTCTGCATCAGACATGAAGTGGCTGACAACATATTTTGAGAATGCAGGAATGGATAACTAAGTAGCTGCTTTTCAAATATCCCCCAAATTGACACATTTTTCAAGTCAGGGACTGAAGTAGTTCCAGTGCCAGTAGAATGAGCTAGAACTATGATATGGATGATGTGCATGCTCTGCTTGGTAGCAGGAGACTATACAAGCCTTTATCCAGGAATCTTTGAAATCAGAATAGTTAACTTTCCATTCTCTCAACACATAAAATCAATAGGAGAGGTAAGGCTCTAAAAAAACTGTATGCAGTCTAAGTGAAAAAAAAAAGAGAAGGCTTGTGGGATACAAAGGTTTGGAAACCTAATTTTCTTATGGGTATCAGGTTTGGGAAAAAGACAGGGAGGCTGGTACCCTGGTTGAGGTAATATAGATTTTTTTTGGCAAGTATTTTGAGTATGGCTTTATGGAACCAATTTTGAATGTATTGTGCATGGGGAGCCTTCACTCTCCTGACTGATGTAATGACCAGACAAATCTCTAAAAGGTGTTTTAGCAAACAATTTTTCATTGGCTCAAATAGCAACTCCAGGAGAGCTACTGGCATACAATTTAAGTCCTATAGAGGTACCAGGGTCCTGGCTGGTGGGAAACAAAGTCTAATTAGGCCACTAAGCAATGAAGCGTTCACATGATAAGAAAAAAATTGTGAACATGAATTAGGAGATAAATTGCAGATTTGGAAGTCAGATGAACCTTCAGCCTGCTGATGGATAGTTCTATTTCTTTAGTGTGTCACAAGAAACCTGGAATGTCTTGTATTCAGGCCTGAATCAGTCTTACGCTATGGACACCCATTGACCTGGCATAAAAATGTCAGTTTAACACAGTTCGTGTTCCTAAATAAGGTTTTTCTGCTTTTCAGAAATGTATACTGAATTGTCAGGGGGAAAAAAAAGGTATTTCTAGAAAGCCCAGCCACTCAAATGGCCATAACATAAGATAGAACAGGGACAGGCAATTATTTTGGGCAGAGGGCCGCTTACTGAGTTTTGGCAAGCTGTCGAGGGCCGCATGGGTAGCTCCGCCGCTTGACAGGTGCCCTGCCCCCTGGTCACCATCTTGTGACCAGAAGTCCTGCCCCCTAATCCCTGACCGGTGCCACCAGAAATCCCTCCCTTTGCCCCCAGTAGTACTCCTTTCAGCAAGGGGTTTTGCTATCTCAGAACCAGAAAAATACCAAATTATATTCTTAAAAAAAAAAAAAAAAAAATCAAACATCTACAACGTTCATTAATTTGATTTAAAAAAATATTTTTGTCTTGATTTACATGCGTTTGTGTAGTGTACACAGAAGTGACTACACAATAGCTTAAAACGAAGTCTTACTCGTGTATATTGTGGGGGAGAGTATAGGTTTGTGTGGGCTGTGGGTGTGTGGGGTGAGGGAGCATGTGGGTGTGGATATGTGGGGTGTGGGTAGGTATGGGGGAGGGTGGCTGCGGTTCATTTATGGCAGTGCAAGGGGAGGTGTGTGTACATGGTAGGGTGTACGTGTGGGACTCGCCCTATGAACACACACACACTCTGCCCCTGTGCCTGCAGACATGCACGTGCATGCATGCATACCCTCACGCACACACACACCCAGTGCAGTTCTGTACTCCGTGGGCCGGGAATGCAGCCAGGAGCCACAGCCACATGGTGTCCGAGCAGGGTGGGGGCAGAAAAGCAGGGAACTGGCTGGGGTTGTGCAGGGCTGGGCTGCTCAAGCCTCCAAGCCTGCTGAGGGCTCCCTCTGGGTCCTATTGCCCCTGCCTCCTATCAGCCTTGACAGGGAGCCAGGGCAAATAAATAATAATTTACTAAATTTTTAGGGGCTCTGCAGGCCAGATAGAATGGCCTGGCGGGGCGAATCTGGCCCACAGGCCATATTTTGCCCGCCCAGTCAGGAATGGGATAGAGAACAAGGCTGTAACAGAGATTACAACTCTGTGTAGGAACAGGTTTAGGGACCACTATACAGATAGTGAGAACAACTCGCATAAGAATATTTGCTCTGAGGCTATGAGAATAATTTTGGCATAACCTTGTTTCCATTTGAAATCTGAACATTACACAACTGAAAACAGACTTTTCCCAAGGAGCCATGTCAAACTGTATAACCCAGTAGGTTAAAGTGTTTAATTGTTGGACTGATGATATAACCATATATCATTCATTTCTCAGGCTTTGTGTTTTGGCCTTAGTGATCCTGTGAAATCCACAGCTCCGCTCACTCTTTAGTCTTCAGGATTAACTACTCACTTTCTCCATGACAGAGTGAGATACTGCAGAGTTCTCCAATGTAAACACCTAGAAAGAAAATAATGCAGTAAATCATACTGCATCATAATGTCATTGCTCTGGGATACAATCATGTATGCTCAAGAGAACTACACCTGTTTATGTAACTCAAAAAAGCAACAGCTATTGTACTGTCTGATGTTCTGTTTGTTTCTACAGAAATAAATGTAAATAAATAAAATAAATATAAAACCAACATAATTCAACAAAACTACAGGTTAAAATGTATTGCTTGCACAGCAGTAAAATTAACAATGTTTTATAGTTTATTCTGCACCATCAAAGTGCGTAGCGCACTACCATTTGTTCCAGTCTATCCCCAGAGTAACTGCAATTCATTTTCTTAATAGCAGACAAGTACAACCAAACATCATTAATTCAAACTCTGGTTAGCTGCAAATCCAAGTATCAACGTTAACAACAGATTTGGGGATTTTCAGTTTACTGAAGCACAATCCAGCAAGATTCTACCATGCTAGGACCTGGGAAGGAGGCATCATACTTCCTGAGGGAAGGGGAAGGTCATCATTTTGCACATTCTGGCCCTAATCCAGCACTTAATAATAAGCAGCTGAAACAAGAGTGAGGCACTCACAATTGGCCATAATGCTGATGATCTGTGCCCACATCATATACTTCATTCACATTCATTCCAGCAGAGTGGATTAATGTGAGAGCACACAAATTAGAAGCAACATCAAAAAAACTGCTTTGATTTATGAACTCCCTTACTAAACTTAGGCCCAGAACCATAAAGTTATTTGTAGCAGGCAAACTGAGTTATGCTCAGGCTCTTAGCATAACCTTAGGCCTTCCCGGAACTAAGCAATTAAATTGTACAGACTGCCTTATAGGTGCTGGCAAAAGCAAGTGCTGTGATTGGTATGGTGGGCTAACCAGGTACAGTAGTTTCCCTAAAAGGAAAGAAAACCAAAAACGGAATAGGATTGGAGTACCTTATCTAAAAAAGATGAGGTATGAAACTTGAGGACTGGACAGTTTGAGATGAGAAAGTTACAAAAGAAGTGGATAAACAAGGAGACCATGTGTGTTGGTGTTGCCACCCTGGGGAGACAGAAGCAACCTTGAAATTCTTGTTCGAACAATGAGGAATCCAGAAACTAAACATCTCACACACCCAGCAGATCTGAGGCCGGTACCACCAAAGGTCGCTGTTGTAACATCTAAGGAACAGCTTGCCAGGTTGTATTGCAAGGATAATTACCTTGTAATAAGCCTAGGGATTACTAATAAAGTTTACTCAATAGAAAACTGGACGAGGGGCCATGTCTATCTTTGGGGGTCTCTGATAAAAGGAATCCTGAGGCAACAGTATTTAGGCACCTAACTCTGGCTTATATGTATAATTGTAGCCTGTTTCAGTTGGATGCACCATCTACATCAGGTCTGGAGGAAATAACCACCTGAAATTATCATGGTTCTACTACTGTTTTCATTATTAGCAATGACAAGTGCAGACAACTACGTATTTCCATTTCTCAGTAGACCCTTAATGCATACCTTCAAAGCTCTGGGGGAAGACAGCCTCAAATTGAAGACAGGTGCAGCATTTACACACTAACATGCTGCCAAAGAGGTTGCTGCCAACTCAGGATTAACCACAAGTGAAACTACATGCATAGATGAATAACACCACATCACCTGAATATTTTGGGGCTTTGACAAGTTAGAGAGAATGGCTGTAAGCCATCTGATTTCACTGACTACTGCAACCATCATTTCTGTGACAGATGAAAGTGAAACACCTGCATTAGCTTACTGAAGCACTGTTTAGCAAGAGATTTATATCAAGATGATTTGTAAAGCCACACTGAGCACTTTCTGTCTCACTGCATCTTTTAGGAATGCTAGTTCAGAAATTAATTAGCAAAATCATGCAGCTGTGATAATCTTAACATCCATGTGATACCCAGGTGTACAGCATTTGCTAAACTACAGAGAGGAAAGTATTACTGAACCAGAAGCTTGCACCTCCCTAGCGAGGGTCTCACTTTATAGGCTACAGCTTTCAGAAATTCCTATGAAGACTGAAATTAACTGTGTTTTTTGGCTGATCATCCTTATTACTATCAAGCCAGTTTATTTAGACTGCAAAGAAATATGCTGGCAATGCAGGTGGATTGCAATTACAAAAGAGTCTGTTTACTGAAGTGCCAATCCAATGGACTATTGGGTAGCAGTTACTATAAATAGGATTGTTGCTAGAACTTCAATGCTGACACACAGCTCTATCATTGTGAATGGCTGGGGAACCCATGCAGTTTTATAAGGCAGAGCCTTTACAGGGGCATGCACCTTGAAATTGTCGTCTGCTTTTATGTGCTGTCCAACTGAACTAAAAAACTTTTCCTTCATCAATTCACACTCCTATTGTGGAGGGAAAAAATGGAGTTAGAAAAGGCCAGAGTCTCATGCAACCACTAAGTGGATAACTGAGCAAGTAGCACGTGCCCAGGGATTACAGAAAATATTCTTAGCTATTCAGTCTCTAACTATGGTATGTTTTAACCTGAACAACCCAGGGAGACCAAATTAAAGGTGCTAAGAGCAGCCCAGCTGTGTGATAAGAGAAGGAGCACAAGTTGATATAAAATGTAGAACACACAAGCACAATGCTCTTGTAGCATTTTATGCATCCTAATGTTATAGTCACTCCATTTCTCTTGAAAGAAAAGCCTATCAACCTCAAAACAGCAAGCACAAAATTAGAAAGTTGCTTATCCTTCTTGGAACTAAACACCATTAGCAAATGCAACAAGAAAATGAACCCAGAAAGTTGCACCTGGAACCTTTGGCTGCAGTCTAGGTAAGAAGTGACAGCTGGTCTTGCTATGTCCCTAAAGTTTTGTGGTCACAGGAAGATGACGTCACCTTTATCCCTGATACAGCGAATAAGACAAGCCCCCAATTATTACTGAAGAAGCAACTTCAGAAACAAGTCAGTATCAAGAGTTGGAAAATCAAACTATTCCAGAGAATTAACAACTGAAAAACAAAGACCAGAAAAACAACAGGAAGAAGCCAAGTACTGTACCTGCTGTGCTCCAAGATAGTGAGCCAGCACAGGAAGCAGACTGCCATCACTGATGCAGAGACAAACACTATCTGTTTTCAGAACCTACAGAAAATAGGACAAATTGTCAGCATTCTTTTTGGTCCAGATGAAAAATTTCTCAAATAGTTTTTTTCCACATCTAGTCATTTAAATATAGCTTTAAAAATAAAAAGATACTCATTCAGTGCAATAAGGACTGGGGGTAGCTGCAGAAATTCAGAATATTAGATTTTAATACAAAGGAGCGATATGCACTCCACAGTAATAATGAAGAAGTTATTACTGGTCATACACATACAAATTCAACATTAATTCCTTCTGTGATCACCAAAAGCCTGTCTGCATCCGACTAGAAGACACTCCTGTTGAAAAATATTCTGCAGTTACAAAGATCCATAGCAGATCTTTTGTGCCTGCAATTCAAGAAAACTGGATAGTAGATATTTCATAATGAGGTCTGAATACAGCTATGTTTCAAACTTAGAGTGTTCTGTGCTGTGTAAACAAACACAGCTCATTGTTAAAAGCGATGGTCCAGACCTACTTGATAAGCCACAGAAGATGGAAAGATGCACAAAAATGGCCTAGTAGTGTAAGGGGCTGATGTTAAGGGGACTTTACTCACTTTCTTCAAAGCCTTGATATATTCATTTGTTCGGTTCTGATCATTTAGTTCTCCAAAACGTGGCCTATTCCATAGCAGGTGAGCCTGACATCTACAAACAGGACTTGCAACATGGGCATCTGTTTTATCTTCTTTATCTCTATAAGTAATGGAAAACATTGAGTAATATACATGTTCTAACAGATAATATATACAGTACATAGGTGGTCTGCATTGTTCCATTTTAGTTTGGCTAGTCTTTCCTTCTACTTTTTGTTTTTGCATTTACAAAGGAGAAGACCAGATGGCTGAATTTGAAATGGCTTAATTTTAAGAAGTTTTAAATGCCCCAACCAACTTCAGTACTGAATGCCAGGTGTTTTTGACCTCTAGGAAAGGACTGCTTGTTCAAGCTTCTAAATACAGAAAGAGGCACCAGCTTGAAGCATTAGATTTTTAAAAATCTTGGCAACTGTTTCAATCATGACTAATTTTGAATTACTCCATTATCTTGAACAAGAGGTCACTGATTTTGCAAGATTCTCTGTTTGTGTGCATGCGTGTATGCATGCATGCACAAGCCAGCAAATGCATGGAGGAAGGTAGTAACTGCTGTCTTGGTTCTATTCTTGATGTACTTGACTTTCCAGAATCTGATTGAGCTTCAGTTTTCTTTCATAAAAATCAAACTAGAATTCTGTCCCTGTTACAGAACACTGATATACCAGAGACAAAGGAGGGTCCCTTGAGAACTCATCAGAATATACTCTCAGCTAAACTGCCATTTCATATACTCGCCTTTTTTTGTTTCCACACAGTTGTAATTGGTGGCGTCACATAAATGTGCCAACACTTATCTGATATTACTATGCTTAATGATGAATCTATAGCAGTGGTGAGGAACCTACAAATTCAAAGTGCCTCAGCTTTAGATATGCACCAGAGAATTATAGGCAGAAAAATTCAAAACTGTGTGCAGAAAAATTCAAAATAATGCCAAGTTAATTACTTAAAAAAAATTAAACTAAATATAACAGTACTTGACCCTTCTTTAGAAATATATACAGGTACTTATGCATGGCGGGAGGTGTGTGGGATGTGGTCAGCAGTGGGTGCTGACTTTGTGGGCGGGGGGGGAGAGTTGTGAAGGGGTGAGGATGGGTGCGTGTGAGGTTTGCAGGGGGGGTGTTGTGAAGGGGTGTGGGGAG